GAGAACATGGTGGTCAGTGAATCTGGTTTGCCGATCTGCTGATTAGCAAAAATTTGGTTTGTTTCATAGCCTTCATAGGAGGCCGTGGTGGCATTAGCTGCAGCGTAGGGGCGCCCTTTGAAGTCCGTGATTGACCGGAGACTCTGCCACATGTGTTTCGGACCAGATTTGTCAAACTGGCTTTCTGACTTCTCCTGCTAATGTGTAAAGCCAGTCCAGATGGATCATTCTGAGGGAGAAGTTTGAGAGTGATGTGAGCACAGAGACCAGGCGTGGAGGAAGGCTGCTGCTTATCAAGTTAATCAGCTTTTCTTCTTTCGTTTTTGTTTCTCTGTAATTCTGTGGTAACTTTGGTTTCTCATTATTCTTCTGAGATGCGCTGCGTTTATGTAACTGGAAATTCAACACGATCGTTGTTCTGCCGTACCATTATAGACAAAGGCCAAATGCACAACGGTAGGACCTGCGAGCATTTCGGTGTGGTTCAGTTAAATGCCAATTTCTTCAGGCGCCCACTCGCTGACCACAGAACTCGCATATGGGTAAGAAACCAGCCCATTTCCGCCTTGGCCGCACACAGTTAATCACCCTCATCCACTCTCACCGGCTGCCTCGTCTGAGCTAAAGTTTCGATTTGAATCGACGGACTGGGGCCCCTGTGACACAATTCTCCCCACCTTTCACACCCCCTAGAGCTCTGCAGAAGCCACCAGCATGATGGGGGGTGGGGTGGGGTGGGGTGGGGGGGAGATTTACGGGATCTGTAGAAGTGCTCAATGATGGTGGTGCTCACCAAGGTCCCATTTAAGGATGTCGGGACACCGACTTCCTGTTGTGTCATAGTAACGTCTATGAGTGTCTGTCTGATACATTTTCTCCACAGATAGGTGGATGGAAACTAAGCGGTGGCCTTCAGAGCCTGTGCAACGCAAATCCAGTCCGCCCAAACCTCGGGTTATAGTAAGCATGTCTTTATCTGGAGAACATCTGCAATGACCCTACCGTTGCCGGTCCCTCTCACTCCTCTACTCGTCCCTCTCTCCTCTTTTGTCATGTATCTCTAGGAGGAGAACCCTCTCCCCAGCCCCTCCCTGCGCATCAACGTCCCTGTGCTCTCATTTTCTCTCAGCGTGCTCCTGGTACTCCTTGGGTTTCTGGCCCTGATGGGATTAAAACGTAAGTGGATCGCTGTCAGTTAACCCAATCGGGAGAAGTTGGCGAGGTCATCGCGATCTCAGCCTCTGCGAGGTCATTAACCTTGACGTCATCATCTTCGTCACGTCCTGCTCATGCTTAGGAATCTAGGGAAAATATTACTTAATATCGGTGTTATTATCACAGGTGAGATCCAAAAGAGAAGATTGAAAACAGAAAGGTAAGATCAAAGATAAGTGTTACATTTGTGTGAGTGTGTGTAGTGTGTGTAAGTGTGTGTAAGTGTGTGTGTGTGTGTAGTGTATGTGTGTGTGTGTGTGTACTCAGCACATGTAACTGTCCACATCTATAGCCAGACAGCTGTGGAACCTCCTCACATCATCCATGAGATCCAGACCAGGAAACCTCTAGAAGAGAACATCTACACCTTGGACTGATTTACCTTTGAATCTAGTCAGCACTGCGGTGACCTCAAACAGCCAGTGCGATGACAAAGGACACTGTCCCGTAACCAAGGTGCCACCTTCAGGTTTCACTGTCGTATGAAGCACTTAAATATCGTTTTGTGGAACAAGGTTTGGCCATAAGCTGAAGAAACTGCTGGATCCTTGCAGTAACAATGTTCAAAAGTGTGTTGTAAGGGAGTCTTGCCAGTGTGTTAACAATGTGTGAGAAAATACAAGCGTCTAACAGTAAGGTGAATCTGACATTTCCCTGTCATATAACAATTCAATCCTAATTCCAACTGAACGAGTGAAGCTGTAGTATCATTCTTGGCCGCGATGCTTCATTACTTCATGATCTCAAATTTGAACCATCGCTTTAAAAACACTTCTAAAGCGGAGTCTCTCAAATCATCGTATAACAATTCAATCCTAATTCCAGTTGAACGGGTGAAGGTGAAGTATTATTTTTTCCCACAGTGCTTCACTACTTTAATTTATGATCTCAGTATTGAACCAGCTCTTTTCAATGCCTCCAAAGCACAAGGCTCTTAAATTATTACCGCATTATATTTTAATCCTAATTCCATCTGAACGAGTGAAGGTGAAGTATTCTTTTTAACCACAGTGCTTCACTACTTTATGATCTCAGTAATGAACCAGCCCTTAAAAACGCTTCCCAAGCGCAAGCTTCTGCATTTCAGTTCCCTTGTTCAATTAAGGAATTGAGGGGGTGAAATTTTGTCAGATCTAATTAGTGAGATCTACACCAGCTAGTATCGAGAAGAGACCCCCCCAGGAGAAATGATATCTGTCCTGTCCCACAGGAAACCCTGCTGCATGCAGTGCTCTTCACTGGCTTTGCTGAATATGTCTAGCTCCCCAAAGAGTGGTTAAGGGCAGGTGTTTTTAACCAGAACATTGCTGGTTCATGTCCCAGATGGCACTACGCAATGTGCTTTAACCCGAAAGCCTTCACTATAAAATCCTGCTGAAAGTGTTCAATAAAAATCAAGGCCATCATTGTCATCTCTTGGACGTTGTATGTGTCGTGTTGCATAATCCGAAGCAATGTTTCCCGCTTTCCATTTACTAGTGCTTAGTGTTCACTAGAATATAAATGAAGGAACTGATATATTCTGATAGAAGCAAAGAGTATTTTTCTTTTTACTGTCATGGATTTCACTGGCTTTTTCTGGCCAGTCGCGTCAGTGCGTTCACGTTGTCAGGGTCTTTTACAGGCTGACAGATTTCATCCCAGGCCTGTGCTGCTGAACCGCGAGTGCAGTGTCAGTTTCACTCAGTACGCTAGTGACCCTTATATCGAGTTACACAATTTCACTGTGATTTCAACATGCTTCAGGTTGTCAGTGAGTCTGCTTGTTCCTACTGGTAACATCCTGCATCAGTTTCGACTGTGGGACTAGTCTCTCTTGGAAAAACTGATCCATTGACCTTTATAATATATTTAACTAAACACATTTTCTGCTATTATCCTCCATAGTTTTACTCCCTTTCACTTACGGTTTTACATGTAAGCAAGTGCTATTACGTCTGATCCAGACCATGGAAATGTGTTGATTAGAACTGATTCGGTCCTGAAAATCACTGTTCTTCATATGCAATATTGTTTCAGTAGGTTTACCCACTGCTTCCCCTATTGGTTAAATGTGGAAAGTGCCATACAGAAGCTAGAGCAAGGGAAGTAGGTCCTGAAATAAAAATCTTTCCGTCTATTCTTCGGAAAAGGGTGGAGTAGAGCAGCTCTTTTCAGTCCTGCATAAACAAGCAATACAGTCAGGTTACTGCAACATTTTCATTTTTTTCTGTGATCAGTTTACTTGCCATGTTACTTTGCGAATGTCAGGGTATACGATTCGTCAGGGTATACGATTCGTCAGGGTATACGACTCGATATTCCATATGTTGCCCATGTGTTTTTGAATGCTTACTCTATCAGCTAAACCCAGTGCAAAGACTGACTCGATCTTCCTTTAAACAGTGATATGCCGCTGAGGTTAGAAGTGTGATATTACAGTATGATATTAAATAACAGACAACTACGTGTAGCTAATTTAACTGAATCGGATAAAAGTAAGAGCTTCATGCAGGCTTGTACATTGTAATCGAAGTACAACTTCGGTCACACTTCTAACCTCAGCGGCATATCACTGTTTAAAGGAAGATCGAACTGTCTCACTGGGATGGGAAGATCTTAATTGTTTTGATAAGTAAAAAAAAAATCTAGATATTTCCAACCGCCACCATGGATCTCAGTAATTTTTATCACAAGCGCCTTCTTCTGGGACACATTTAAAATATTTGCAAGCACAGCATTTTTTTTTATATAAAATTCAAGTAATACGTGCAATTAACACAGCCGTTCTCAACTTCCGTAGGTGAACGGAAAAAAAGTGTAAATAAGAAAAAAATGATTGTGTAAATCTTTTATCTGTACTATGCTTAGATTTCCTATTGCTTTCATTGTCTGTACTGCGTTCCTACACTACATGTAAAAAAATATACAGCACAAAATGAATTATGCATCAAATGCAAATGATTTTAAACGATAAACTGATGAACATTTCACGGGGAAACACCAAAAATAGGTCATTTGTGGTCGCTTGACATCATGCAATCGGGTAAATTGTTATAATGCAGGAAACAAAGTCGGGTCATGCCAGTCTAATCCTTCACACGAGCTGTCTGAAGAAACCGGGTTGTCAGCTAAAAGAATTACGACAGAGTGCAACAGATTCGAATGTCTGCTTGTCATTGGCTACGTTTCCTGATTCGGTCGCATTCAGTTGCTGAATTGTGGTTGAATTGGTAAATATTCACTATTTTTCCAGTTTAAAACGAATGCACACTTGTAGATTAGTCAAAATCTCTTACCCATCTAAACATAATGGCATAACCTTACACAACTTTTTACCATAGCAGAACTTAGGTTAATGTATTTTATTTTGCCATTGGAAATAAAACGTCTTTACTATTTTAAACGAATCGATCTTTCATACGCGGTATGAAATGTGTATTTAAATTTACAATGACATTAAGTTATATCGATATTTGAACACTAGAGGGCAACGGTGCACCTTATTTTCAGTTTCTCAGTAAATTGTCCATTGATTTTTGCAGCATATCACAAATAGTTATCTTCAATAGAAACATATGCAAGAAGTTATTAAAGTCTCTGGACAGCTTTTTTTTTTTTTTTTTTTTACAAATAAATGTAGCCGCAGAAACTATTGAAATAAGTCTTTGGTTTTCAGACCGAATCTTATTTCAAGTTAATCGGCCACTGAAACCAGGTTCTTGATTGTCGAAAAAAAAAGAAAATCGTTCGACTTTGCTAATTTTATCCGCATCGACGTGTGTCTCTTGTCTTTCATCATATTTGATAACCTGTGTTTTTCAAGAAACCCCTTTTTGGTACAGAGTCACCGTATGTTTAGCAGACAAGAAACAGCTTATAATAAGCAGGGAGGTGTTAGAATCAGCATTTAATTGGCACCCTACTCCCCCGCCCTTTCCATGCAATTAACTTATCATCTTTTGATGGCAAACTTGACGTGTTCTCTGTTTTTTTTCTTAAAGTCTCATAAGTCTGCGCCCCAGCTGAAAACTGTATCACTTTAAACGGACATAAAGCAGATGGATATCACTCTGTGTGTGTATTTGCCAGTGAAACGTCGCGATTCCTCTGTGATCAGCATCGTTACACACCGGAGCCTGACCCTCCAATAGCTGAAAAACAAACACATCACGCAACAACGCACGACCACTGCTTTCCAAAGAAATGCGCGAATCTGTGTTTAGGTACAGATCCACTAAAGGATGCGGAACAAATTAATTGGTGAGGTGATGAGATATTTAAGGTGTTTACTAAATTGTTGTGACTTTCCACGTCTGCCCAGACTCTCAGAGAACAGACTGGAAATAAGGAAGTACACTTTGCTTGGGATACTTATCTTTATACCGTCTTATTTTCCCTACTGCTGTTTCTTTCCCATAGTTCAGCTTGCTTGTTTCCATTACTTTTTAGTTATTACGTGTTTAACGTCTCCTTGAGCCACTGGGTTTCCTTCCAGTCCGGTTAGGCTTTCCATTCCATAGCCTCTCACATCAGCTCCACAGTCCTGACAGGTTTCTCCACACTGACATAAAACTAAATAAGTTCAGATGCAAGAAAAATCCTGTAACACCCACGCGCACAAGAAGCAGCAGCAGCTGAAGATATAATTCAATCAACTATATTGTATAGTGTCTATGTTTAGCAAAACCATCCAATGCCCTGTCAAACTGACATAATCAATTATCAAATTTAATAATCACAATTGACCAGCGAGATATTGTAACACTTTTCCAATTATTGTGAGTTTTTTGTAATTGGCCTACTTTTTATTTGTAATACCTTTATATTTATAATGCTTTTTATGTGTTGAAAGCCGCCAGGGAAGTGATTCCTACACAGAGGTAGATGACTAGTGACGCCGGAATGTCACGATCCACAGTCGTGGAACTTTTGGAATATTTTAACTGGAATGCGGTGCCTTGTATCCCGACTGCACGTGTAAAGTAGATTTATAGAAAACGGCAGAGGGACCCAATGCACTCCGACACGTCACCCCCCCCAGCCCCTGGCGTTCGAGCGCCGTGCTGAAATCAAGCAAGAATTAATGAAATTTTAGACGCCCGCTTCTTTTCAAACGATCCACTTGAATATGGATCAAGCTGAAGTTTTGTTGTCTCCTTCCCTTTCAAGGGCTGCGTTCCTCCCGCTCCGTGGCTTTTGTATTCTCAAGACACCTGTGGATGAGACGCGCAGCCGGCTTTGATCTTCCGACGCCCGGCGAGGCGGAGCCCGGCTCTCGCATCCCCTACCTCCTTTTTACGCCGATCTCCTGCGTTATTCACGTTTTTAAGTGGAAACCGCGGAAAGAGTAGGCTGCACGTTGAAGCCAATTACGGGATAAAAGTTGAGAGAGAGGCGCCCAAAAAGAAAGCACTAAAACTAATCCGAAATCATTTTCTGGATGAGATGATAGCAATTTTGAAAGTGTTATTCAAACAATCCAGAAGATTCTCCAGGGCTGAGACTTATTTAAATGCACACTGGACAGAACCGCAGTAATGTGTGTGTGTGTTGATGAATAAGCACCTTACAGGAGAGGACGTAGATGAGGACACTTTAACAAATACATCTCAGGATGTTTGTTCATCGCTTATAGGCCGGAGCTTTCTAACATCCCATATGACAGCTGTGATACACGCTGGAAACGCAGAGGTGCTGGAAAAGTCCAGTACGTTTGCCATTGCTACGCACGTCTCTGTTTAACGGGCTTTGATTTACTAAAGCATCACGGGCAACCTGGCCTGCTAACACCCAGCATCACGCGTAATGATCTACAGTGATTAAGTTAATTGAGATAGTTAACTTTTCTTTTCAATTATTTTAGCAATGGCAACAGCAATGTCCTTCTTATTTATCTACTTCTGCTTTGATTATTTAAATCTCAATGAAGCATTTTCCTAAAGGCGCTATAGCATTGCGGTGTATTTTTATGTCGCCCCTAAATTCCGTTTCCGCAGCTCCGCTGTTGCAGTCGGAGGTGTTTCATCCACCGGGCTGCAACTGCGTGCCCACAGCACAGCAATATAACTGCCGTTCGTCTGCTGTTATCCTGGAGGGAAGGACCAAATTAATTTAGCTGACTGCTGCAGTTAAGTTAACGCGTCAGGCATCTGAGATATGCCCGTTAACCGAACCGGGGAATGCTTTACTCCACCCAGCTACCTGCTGACACACAGTGATTCATTGGCAGGGCTGAGTACCGGCAGAATGTCCCCCGCTCTCCAGTTCTCAGTGTTTCTGACTTATTAGGATGTTTCTGGGTACAGCAGGTGCGGGAAGGATAAACTCGGGCAGAAATGTAGGGATCATTTTTTATTATTTTTTTAAATTTTGGAATAGCATTTAATTGTCAAATCCAGAACTTTGCACACGCACGCCAACTTATAGGACATCTC